GTGTGTGTGTGTGAGAATGTGTGTGTGTGTGTGTGTGTGTGTGTGTGTGTGTGTGTGTGTGTGTGTGTGTGTGTGTGTGTGTGTGTGTGTGTGTGTGTGTGTGTGTGTGTGTGTGTGTGTGTGTGTGTGTGTGTGTGTGTGTGTGTGAGTGTGTATGTGTGTGTGTGGGTGTGGGTGTGTGTTTTAATGATCTGGATGCATAATATCCTAACATTCAGTAATGCTTGTATCCCGCGGAAACTATCTAGTGACTATTAGTGGTGATCATAATGACAGTACTTCGATCCTGATAAACCACTAATAACGGCTCGTTGAAATATTCCTTTGCACATTTCCTGAACCTTCCTGAAACGTTGAAAGCTCGGAGGCAACTGCTCTAAGACGCGGGCATCGGTTAACGCTCCGCCGCGCCGGTATTCAGACAACCTCGATATAACGTCTCCCTGGAATGTTACCCCCCAGAAGTCTCATATGAGTCTTTACTTGCGTGATATCAAGGTAGATTCATTGTTATTTTCTCCTTGGTATATTTCAGTTCATTATTAGCTAGTCTACGGGAGCTAATATCGTCGGTATAGAATATAGGTGATTTTCCGTGGAACAAGTTTATATTAGATTCACAAACATAGTTTACAACACGCTGATGTTGAAATGATTATTATTGAGACCGAAAGTTTTTGATGAATATAAAGTATATATAATAAGTTATACATATAATATTGTTGTATGTATAATATAGTTATGCATATAATATATAATCATACATATAATAACTATAATAACAAATATGATAAACAGATTCTGTTTATTGTTAATGACGAGATAATAAAATTAGTAATAGTTCTAAATTGGTATTATATGTAAGTGCCCGTTAACATGGGGGGAGGGGGATAGATTGAGAATTCACCGACGTATATGACTGGTTTCGAAGTCACATTGCCAAACTGCTGAAAGAGAAAGTTCCTGGAAAATCACTAATATAAAGACTTTCCTTTCCCCCCAAAAAAAATTGTATAGAAAAGTAAAGAGTTGAATCTTAACTAGACTATTGTTCTCGAGACCATAGTAAATGAAGAGCAATAATTATCGAGTCTTGTGAAAGGAAACAATTATTGGCATAAGATGAGGGTTGTCATCATTGCTACTTTTCATTGGGAGATCGATGCAATATCATCGGACAATTGCAATATTACTAGACAATTATACATATAGTTTTTTTTTACATTTTCGATGCGATGTCGTCGGGTAAATTGCAAGAGAATAGATTGAAAATCAATTTGTCGATTTTTTAAGGAAATATATTGAGTATGGCAGTTCACATTAAAGAAAATAAGTAGAAAGTAAGGGTTGAATAGTAAATGATTCAAAAGATATTGCAAATAAAAAAAAATGAAAGTAAAAGATGATAAAACGCCAAGATATGATAATGTTTGGGTTAAAAACAAAATAATTCGTTAACATATGATGTGCTTTAAACACAAACGTCAAGCTAAAGAAAAGAGAATTGTGGAAATAATTGTATAAATTCACTTAAATGAAACAACGCAAAATAGAAACAGACGCAGAGAGAGAGAGGGTCGTGTGAGCAGCAAAAAGACACAAGCGAGGAAAGGTCAGAGAGAGAGAAATATGACAATGCCAAGCGGAGAAAATAGAGGAGGCAGGAGGGCGAGGAGTGAGCCCGTGGGAAGGACCTCAGGAAGAAGGAAAACCTGGCGGCAGGATGGCGCTTCAGGAGGACATGAGGGAGACACGTTTCGGGGGAAGGGAGGGAGGGAGGAAGGCGTGGGAGGAGACGGGAGCGAGGCGTTTGCACGGATGTTTTGGGGGTGGGTTGTTGTCTCGGTCTTTCTCTTTCATTCGCGTTCTTTCTTATTCTTTCAGTATGTTTTTGTCTCTTTAATTTTCACTCTCACTTTCATCTTCTCTCTCTCTCTCTCTCTCTCTCTCTCTCTCTCTCTCTCTCTCTCTCTCTCTCTCTCTCTCTCTCTCTCTCTCTCTCTCTCTCTCTCTCTCTCTCTCACTCACTCACTCATACACGCTCTCCCTCCCTCCCTCCCTCTCCCTCTTTCTATCTTTCAACGCCTCCCGCTTTCTCTCCGCCAGCATGTACTGTGTATGTATTTCACGTCTGTTCCAGTGACCCACCACAGCCCCTCTTTCCCCACGCCTCTGCCCTTTGTCTGTTTTGTTTTTGGGGCCCTGAAGCCCTTAGCGCCACTGGCTGACACGATTTCTCTCTATTGCATTTGGCGTTAGTGTGGAGGGAAAATATACGAAAATGCTATATTTGGGCGTCTATATTGTAGAAGTAGGTTTTTTCATGTTGATGTTATAAATGTGTTTGTGTGGGCGTTGTATGTGTATGTTTTCTTTTGGATGGTTAGTTATAGTTATGGATGCATGCGTGTTTTCATATCTTTAAAAAAATCATGCAAGAGAAGCTAAATACGGTTACACTGAGTGCTATGAATTTGAAAAAAAGTGATAATATCCGTAATAACGAATTCCAAGGGGTTGAAATTTACGTTCCCGTCCAGTTGTTTTCAAAAGTCAGCTTTAAAACGTAGCAATGATATTTTTAGTCTCTTTAACTCAGAAGTGTCATGTTTGTTTGTAGGTTTTGTGCAGTAGTTGCTTGTTATTTTGGTCTCGACTCGTTGCTTATGAATTCATCGTGATAAATTGTTAGTATTTCTCTGGACTTTTTTCCGTTCCTTATCACTCTGTATCCACCCCATCCGTTCCCAAATGCCGAAGAGACACAAAGACACGAATGGCTAAATATATGCATATCCAAATGACGAAAACACAAAACGAAAATTGAGTAAACAGGCGGGAATCTAAAGGAAGTGTTGATATTAATACATCGGACGAAAGGCAATTGTTCCCCCCGGCATATATTTCGAGGCTGTATAGTCGATAACTAATTAACCTAAATATTTAACTCCATTAATTAGGGGGAAAGGAAGGATGTGGCGAAATTTAGTGAAAGTGGGCGTGTGGATCAGCGATTTTAGAAAGTAATTAATAATCGAAAATGTAAGTACCGTATCTTCCCTGCATCATGTAAAATATCAGAGAAAAATCGTTCGAAAATCCTTTTATTTTAACTACTGTTTTAGGGAGAGTTTTTATTCTGCTGTTCGAAAGTGTATTCATTATATATACGCAATTTATACACATGAATGGGCATGGAACTATGCTTAATTGGTCCATACACTAGCTGTCAGAATGCGCAAATCAGCTTAAATAACTAGATAAATCTAAATATCAGGCTTTAGCATTACAATGCCTACATACACACTGACGTACTTATTGTACACCTCCAGAAAAAATGTTATTCTCAGTACGAGAGAGAGAAAGGGAGGGAGGGAGGGAGAAAACTTGTCAGAAAAACAAAAATGACACTCGTGTGTGTGTGTGTGTGTGTGTGTGTGTGTGTGTGTGTGTGTGTGTGTGTGTGTGTGTGTGTGTGTGTGTGTGTGTGTGTGTGTGTTTCATCCAGAACATCTTGAACTCAGAATATCAACAATGTTGGTTATTTATAAACTAGTTTATACGTTTTTTTTCCATATGTAGAATGTACTTACTTAGTATCGTTATGGCAATAAAGGAAATGAGTCTATAAATAAAAGGGAAATGCGCGGGGAAGGGCAGCGAGAGAGCAAGAGGGCGAAAGCATGCGTGTGGTTATGCATCATGACATCCAGCCATAAACTTAAACTAAAAGATGTACGTGCGGCCGACCACAGAAACTTCACAGATAAGGTACGTCTTCATAGTTCGCGAAATAAACTTCTTTTCCGACTGCGCCATCTTGAATGAGGAAAGCGCTAACGCCTTTTTTTTGCAAAGAGGGGGGAGGGGGAAGTGCTATAAATTTCTAGAAGGTTCTCGACGAGCAAAGTTGGGTAGGAACAAACGCGATGGTTGCAACGGCAGGGTGTGGGGAAGATCCGCCACTGTCACAAGGGCTTTAACACGCCACGACCTTGAGACTGCCATAAGACCTGTATTTTTACTTGGTGCTATTCGGCGGTGTTTAATAAGACGCTGAATTTAAATAATATATTTAGCACTACGATTTGAGGAAGTAGAGTAACCTTGAGGATTTTTTTCGTTCGCTTTTGGCTCTGGTTTTTTTTTAGTTGGAAAAAAATAACCAAAGAAGTCGGTCTAAAAATAAAGACTATACGAGGGTCTTCAAGCATAACAAGACACATCTGGCGAAAGTGAGGTCAGCTGGAGACCGGATGGCATTTGCCCTGTTCCTCTGGCCACCAGACACGCACACACACACCTACAGACTGCGCTATTAACGTACATCACACTCAACACACCACAGCCACCATGCACATGATGACTCCTCGCTCCATTCCGTGTTTTATTTCCTCCTACACTTTATACACAGCATAACACCTACACTGCTTTTATGCCACTGCTTCCTACACTTCATCCATGCACCATTTTCCTAACAGTACGGACCCCTCTCCACCACCGATCATATTTTCGCCAACGCCACACTTGCTCCTCTCTGAAACCTCGTCATTTTATTCATATGCGCCGCTTTAGGGTGTCATCAGCCGTGAAAGTTTAAGTCCAATTACCTTTACTTCCGGTAAACTATTATTAATTGGTAGGTAAATTAGCTTTATCCCCCGTAATGCGAGGAGTGAGTTCTACGTGCAAGTAACTAATTTGGAGGGCGTTTTAGCATGAGGGAGGATGTCATTGGCATGCATCAACAATTATAGATATTAGTGAGGCGAGTCTTGCTACTTATACGAGGTTTTTAGGCAGTGCATCATGCAAATATTTTATGCCTTTTAATAGAAATTATAGCTGCTGTATCATGCAAGTCACGTTTCCCTTCATTTTTAATCTTCATAAATTCGCTAATGACAGTCGACCTTAATTCCTCTCGATTGTCTCCATTAAAGAAAATAGTTCACTACGGATTTTCATGGCACTGACCTCGTTTTTTTTCATCTCTACAGCTCAGGTGAAGAGCCCTTCGGCACCTCCATCCGCTCCACCTCCACCAATTCCTCCACCTCGGCCTCCACCTCTTCCACTGTAGTAGCTGCTAATGGACACATCTCGCCTGCCAAGCGTAAAGGAGGTAAGTAAAAGCTTTTCAACAACTTTTTTTCCCATCTATTTTAAGATTTCCAACTTGATTCGTCTGGAACGAACGGCGGCGACCATCTCAAGCTGCCCTCCAGCCACTCAGCTCGGATTTGATTTTGTTTTGCTTTCCCAGGAAGTTTCTACGGAAGCTTGGTCATACAAATCTTGAACTAAATTGCCTCGGTTTTGTTTTGACGGTCGATGTTTTTGAGAGCGATGTTTACGATGTCTCTCTGGCTTAGCGCTGATTCTCCAGGCAATATTTACCAATTAAATACTTCGGAAGAAACCATACCCCCCCTACCCCCACCCCCCAAAACCCACCGCCTTCGACCTGAGAACGCTTCCGGCCAAACAGGAGAAAAATGTTTGGAGTTTTTGACCAGAACGCACCCGTAAAAGCTGAGTTGGAAGAGGAAAAAGAAAAAGAGAAAAAAAAGAAATCGAGACTTTAAAGATACCCAAGCTTTTGAACGGCAGATTACACGGAATTACAAACGCAGATAAACGGGAAACTATAGAGTCATTAAATGCACGACGGCCCATCTGCAGAGTGTACGAGTTGAAACAACAAAGAAGATTCTTCCTCAGCCTCTGCCGTCTTCGCTCGATCACGGCTATAAAAAGCGTGCTCTCAAAATGGCCATGTCCTTGTCACCTCTGCTACTTCATGACTCACCCACATGCACCTGGGGGCTACTCACTCTGACTCAACGCCGCCTCGGCTGAAGGCTGGACTCTCCAGCGGTGACGAGGGATGTCTTCGAGGTATTTTTGGAGCGAGAGAGAAATCTGCGGCTGGTTTTCTCGGTGTTTGGGCGCGGGTGAATCTGCTGATTTGATGTGCGGTGCTTGAAATGTGTGTGTGTGTGTGTGTGTGTGTGTGTGTGTGTGTGTGTGAGAGAGAGAGAGAGAGAGAGAGAGAGAGAGAGAGAGAGAGAGAGAGAGAGAGAGAAAGAAAGAAAGAAAAAGAGAGAAAGAGAAAGAGAGTATGTGTGTGTGTGTGTTTGTGTATGTGCGTGTGTGTATGCGAGTGCACGTGCGTGTATGTGCGTGTAGTTATAAGTGCATACAGCCCCGTACACCCCTAAAGAAGAGTCTCACGAGGAAATGAGCGTCCCCCCTAAGAACGCAGGCATGACTCCCTCGCAATTTGTTCCCGAGACGTTTATGCTTGCACTATTGGAGCGCGATAGAGCGGACCGGGCGTGGGAATGGTTGCATTGCGAGGAGGAAACTTAATTATCGAAGGCCGTACTTCACTACCGCCGGCTTTGGTCTTGCAAGGGGAGGGGCGTTGCAGGAGAGGCGCACCGGGATTAAGTGCTGGAGGACGTCTAGGGAGAAAATGCCTTTGAGGAATTCTGGGGGTATCTTAAAGCGGAAGATTTTTAAGGGGAGAAATTCTGGGTACACATAGAGCGAAAGGGAAGAAAGAGAGGAATGGTAAAATGCGATTAGACGGTGAAATAGAGAAGTGCGAGGGAGGGAATTTGTGCAGGAGAGGAAAGTTGAAAGGAGGAACTACATATTTCCTATCCCTGAAACAGAAACTAGAAGTCAAACAACAGTTGGTGAATAGAATGAAAAGCGAAGGATCTATAATTCTCTCCTACCACCCCCCCCCTCCAAAGAAAAAAAAATATATATATATACAAAATAAGATAAACAACAGCAATAAGTAAAATAACAACAGTGACAGCGACAGCAAAGGCATACTCTTCGGTACCGACAATGCCCCTTTACCTTCCCCCTTCGGCTACCCCCTCCCTTCCCCTCCCCTCCCCTCCCCTCCCCTCCCATCCCATCCCATCCCCTCCCTTCTCCTCCCTTACCCCACCCGTCTTCTTCCCTCCCCTCCCCTCCCCTCCCTTCTTCTCCCCTCCCCTCCCCATACCCTCCCCTCCCCTCCCCCCCAAACCACCACTTCTACACACGGCTGTCGACCCGCATTTTTGTTCCATCTCTGCGCACGGGAGTCTTAACGCCGCGCTGTTAGGACGTGTCGCGTCTCACAAGACTCGGGGGAGGGGGAGATGGGGATGGGGAAGGGGGGGAGGGGGGAGGAAGGATAAGGCTTCTCCCATCCCCTTTCCTTTTCCTTGTTTGTTTTGGCTGCTGTGGGCGTGTGGGAAGGGGGATGGGGGGAGGGAGGGGCGGCGGGGGGAGGGGAGAGGCTGTCGGAACGATTTTGCTCGGTTTATTTGTTGTAGTTGTGCTGTTTTTTGTGTTTTCATCGTTAGCGCTGAGTTTCATTTAGAGAGACAGAATGAAAGAAAAAGAAAGAAATAAAGATAAGTCTTGTCGAATTAGTGTGGCGCTTTGTCTCCTTAAATCCAACCGAAAATAGAAACGTTATATTAGTAA